AATTAATTGATTTCTCAATAATTATTGTAAGCGTTGCAGGTATGAGCGTGACGCGGTTATGATCAACACCGCGCCGTAAGGAACATAGGCTTTTATGGCCAATACTGCTTTTATACTTTTACAGGCGTAAAGACTTCATTCTAAATAAAATATTTAGAACTTTTGGAAACATTGGGATTTTTTAAGAAACTCAGAAAATAAAAATAAATTAAATTATTTTTTAACAATATTGGCCACAAATGCCTATGTTCCTTTCGGCGTTGATTCTAACCGCGTCACGCTCATACCTGCGACGCTTACAATAATCATTCAGAAATCAATTAACGGCATATATAGAGGTATAAAATCTCTAAAATAATGTAAAAGATTGTAAAAATAATGATATTTTTAATAAAAATGCTGATTACCCCTCTTCACACGAGGTGACTTTAAATTATATATCTAATAAACATTGCAACAAACAACAAATTCCAAAAACACGTATCCTCTATTTTTGTCTATAGTTTATGTACACGAAGTTGCAAAAAAATAGATCAAAATTTAGTGCAAAAATTTAAACAAAAATGATAAATTTTTTAAATATTATTTAAACAAATAAAGTTTCTTGAAATTTTTTTTCGCACAAACATTTCCTATCTAAAGACGAACAATTTACAAAAAAAAGAATTCAATTATCTTCTTTAGTTCCGGAGATATTCCCAAAAATATGGTTTCAACCCCCAACTTCGAGGGCTATTTTCACCCCCTTAACATGAATGATAGCAGCTAAAAAAAAATACGTGTCGAATATTTTTTCGAGAACTACATTATATCCAAGTTTCATCAAAATCGGAGATTATCACTTCGAGATGGTCCCTTGTCAGTAGAAAAACAAAACAGACTTACACTCTTGGTGTTTTAGGCACGGGCGAACCCGTGCACTATTGCTCTTCATCTATTGCACTCGAAAACCTCTTTAATTTGCAACCAATAAACTGGATGCTTTTAGTTGATACTTAATACTCTTCCTTAAAAAACTTTTCTTCTATCCGTAATAGTAATATAAAACACTTAAAATCTATAAAATATTAAGCGGGTATTTACCGAATGAACACCATATCTTTATTTTTATTCAGATCTGTTTATCATTGTTACAATACTTCGCTATACTTGTTATTCATAACACAAAAGTATCAAATAGAGATATTTCTAATTAAGTATATAAAAAGATTTAATATAATAATAATAATGAAACCTAATGAAAATTCAAGCGTCACCTACACACAAGTAACGTGGTTACGGCGTTATATATGCATTTAATAGGGGTTTGAAGTTTAGTATTGAGTTTAATATTTTAAATACTTACCTCCTTCTCTTTCCTAGAAGCATCAAAACTAAGTCAGCCAGCACAGCGGGAATAATGTGAATTAAAACATTAAGTAGCAAGAAACAGTACCGACGATTAGTCGTTATTATAAATGGATACCAAAGCATCTTCTCAAATGGATGTTTTTTCACCTCGTTAAAGTATGTCGCATGGTACCTTATCATATGAAAAGGTTTCCAGAGGGAAGAACCATAATTGTACACTTGTGATCCCTTTGATTTCCTACGCGAACCGGCGAAATAAAGAGTGATTAGCAAAATCGCTTTTCGAGGCAGTAGAATAGCAATTCTTATTTTCAATCTAGCATGCAAGCCTGTCTGCAGCCAGGACATGCGGCTAACAATGTTAGCCGGTTTAGGTGATCATTGTTTACCTAACGGTCCAATCGAATTTAAAAATCGGTATCATCGTCAAATTATAGTCCAAATTTTTCGTTAAACTTTAAGCTCAATGATGGTTGGGATTTTTCAAAAAATTTTATTTCAAGGGTTTCTTTCAACCTCGAACTTGTGTTTACCAATGATTAAATTACCATCCTATGTAGCAATTTAACTAACTACAAGTACACTGGATGTGATGAGACAACATTGGTCGCTGATTAATTAATTTTTATAAATTTAGAAAACGCCCTCTCACTTTGCAACATGCTTGTGGGAGTAGGAGTACACCCAAGGTTACAAGGGTGATTGGCACGAATAAAAAGTTAGTCAGCAATCTTCCACGTACCATTTAGTAATTTTCTTGAGAAACTATTTAGAACTTTTTGTCGAGCGGTGAGTGAAGTCGAAGATTAAAATAAATGTTAAATTAAAAATAAGAACAATGAGAATCTTGTTAGGTATACAATACATAGTGTTCATTATTCTGGTCCTTCGAGAAAGTGACAACATTCACATCAAGCATAAACAATCGCGTGTGCATTTGGAGGTACTCATGTTCACCGTGCGCTAACAATACAATACTGATTTCAAATCCTAGCCAGACTGTATTCTTGTAAACAAAGAATAAAATTTGTTTATCTGTATAAAATACAATCAAAATTAATTATTAATTTAATAATAAATGTATATTACTTGTGCACAGTTAAATCCCAAATTGTTGCCAGGAGACAGTTAACCGCCAGATCAAGTGGAACTATATCCAAAGCATTAGCCATGCCTATAGGTATAACGTGTGCCACTCCCAAGTTAATCATAATAATCGGTGCTGCAGGTCCATTTACATTCGCTACCCATCCAGAAACTGGCTCATCATACGGTGATATAACTGTTTACAAAGTGAAGAAAGTTACATCATTTTTAGCGGTTTTTGATTTGTAAATCTAATTATTCGTGGTAATTGTATCGTAGAAATATGAATGTGAACTGTTTCAGCGAGTTAACATTTTTTTCCACGTTTTTAATTAAAATAACAAAATAATGTCTGCATACCGATCGAAGGTCTAAAGACGGAACAAGGAATTGATGTCTTTCGTGAAAAGTTCTCAACGAGACTTTCGGCGATGGATTTACTGAAGGTGTACGCGTTAGGCCATTCTCCTAATATATCGCGCAACGTCACCTCACTGAGTCCATCTAAAGTTGATTCGTCGCTTCGTATCACATCCTCGACCATATTTAAATCACAAGGAGGAGAGTAAAATTTTTCTCCGATTCGTTTATTGTAACAATGAGAGTACGCAGTCGAAACGTACACGAATGCTTTCAAGCGAGAGCATTTTGCTGCTAAATCAAGCATGTACTTGGTGCCTAACACGTTTGTTTTTAAGATGGAAGATATTCTTGTAGTAAAAGAAACATCTGCTGCATTATGAATGACTATGTCGACATTTTCCGTTAGAAGTTTACAGTCTTCCGATGAAAAGCCCAAGTTAGCTTTCTGCAAATCACCGTAAATTGGTTGCACCTTCACCATAAAATTGGGGTTCTTCTTATGCAGTGTATCGAAAATCTGGAAGCAATGCAACCACGAATGTTACAATGCACCACGTAGAACAGGAAATTAAAATGGTTCGAAAAATAGTTACGAATAACTATTATACACTATTATAACGATTCTTACTGAAACAGTTCTGAAGAATCTCTGTTAAAAGTTTAACATTTAGCATAGCACCCACTATAGAAAGGAGTAATACATCAATAAAGAGATTCGTGAAAGACGGCCAAGGTTCTCCCTTAGTAAAACCCAAAAGAGAATTATATTATAGATTACAATATAAAATGTTCTTAGTAGGTAGGGACAACCTTTAACCGTTCTAAACAATCATACAAAATAAATTAGGTTGGCTTAAAACACACTTTACAAATTTTATAAAAGGACATCTATTTGTATACATTCCTCGTTTATATTTACACAGTACAATTTTGCATGTGTAAAAAAATATAAAAATAAATCTAAACATGCACAGAAATGTGTTTTAGTTTCATTTCATATAATCTTTTATGTACAAAGTGTGTCAGTCGTTTTCAGTCCTCCTTAGCTCATTCCCGTGGCTTGAAATACGCAGTGAATATTGCGAACATAAGAAATTCTAATGGCATAAGACGTATTTTCCTATGTAAATTCAAACATGTCCTAATCTGTGTGATGCGTCAATGAACATGCTAAAAGAAATTATAGGACGAAATACGCAAAATGAATTTAAAACACTACACTTACAGGACACTGAAAGCACTTTTCTATTCGCTTCTCAACTGTCATATTTTTCTTAGTCCTGATTATCAGGTAAATCTTGTCAATTTCCAAGCAAGTGCGTAAAAGTTTTTCTACAATGCCTGTTTCAAGGAAACCAGTACACCCAGTGATTAGAATTTTTTTGCCAGCATAAAATCGTCGTATCTGACCACCATTGTTACAGTTTTCGTTCTCTGAATGCCACTTTTCGCTATTCATCGCGAATATTATTATATTATTATTGCGAATTCGTTCGTTTTTCACTTTCTATTACTTCCAATATGTCATTCACTTTTCTTATTCACAAGTATACTTTTTACAAATCAGTGGTAAATTTCTATCAAACCTGTGTATCATTAAAGGAGCACCAGCGTACTTATATAGATTCAAATTACCTTGAAATTGCACGATTATGGTTAGCTAATTACTTCCTGCAGTTCCATTTTTTATCGTATAACAAGTGTATGTAATGCATGCTCAAACTCCGCATACGTTAAATCTGCAGACGTCAGAAATGTGATATAACTATCTTTAGATGCACTATATTGTTTAACAAAAACGAACCTCCTGATAAATCTTTGATTGATTTTTTTGATGTCTGTGTAGAATACTTTGAAAAATTATGATTACTATCAAAAACATTCATACGCAGCGACAAAGCGATACATATTTAGCTTAAAGACGAAAACGGCCGTATCAAAAGTTTACTGCTTTTATACAATACTTTTACAGGCGTAAAGTCTTCAATCTTAATAAAATATTTAGAACTTTTTGAAACATTGGGACTTTTTAAGAAACTAAGAAAATAGAATTAAATTAAATTATTTTTTAACAATATTGGTCATAAAAGCCTATATTCCTTGCGGCGGTGATTATAACAGCGTCACGCTCATACCTATGACGTTTACAATAATTATTGAGAAATCAATTAACGGCATATGAAGAGGTGTAAAATGTCTAAAGTATTGTAAAAGATTGTAAAAATAATGATATTTTTAATAAAAATGCTGATTGCCTCTCTACACAGGAGGTGATTTAAAATTATATATCTAATAAACATTGTAACAAACAACAAATTCCAAAAACACGTATCCTCTATTTTTGTCCATAGTTTACATATACAAAGTTGCAAAAAAATAGATCAACATTTAGTACAAAAATTTAAACAAAAATTATAAATTTTCAAAATATTATTTAAACAAATAAAGTTTGTAGCGGCTAGCTGTAAATCTGTAAATTTTGTAAATAGCTTTTAACGTGCAAACGGCTAGCACGGTTTATGACAGGGACAACAGTGGAACTGTTTTTGAGGAAACCGTTTTTAGAATTTTTAGAGAAAGCATGACCGTACTTAGAATTTTTGCTAACGGTCTCAACAGTAAAACGCTTAGTGTCATAAACCCTGGGTTTCCCTTAAGGTCCACATCGCGAGGTCAAGCGACCATCGGCTGGTCGCGTAGTTGACCTGGGCCTTGGGAAATTCCGCTGCGTTGCCACCTTCACCAGCAAACGCTACCCCCGTCAAATCATACCCCCGCTCCAAGGAAGCGTGCTTCGGGCACAAGAGGGAGGTTCTATGATTTGGCGGGACTTAGGTTAAGGTCATTGGTTAACCCCACCTTTCAGGGGGTTGTCCATTAAACTTAGTAAAAATATAAAAATAAGGAAGCAAGCGCAGCACGACAGAACTTCGTGAACATTGTTACTGAGATAAGTCTTGACGGGGCTCCGGTACAGATTAAACAAGAAAACGCAACAAACTGCAGTTATATTTTATTTCATACACGTAACCCTTCAACCCTTACACTTTGGGGGGTTGTTTCGTACCCTAAATATGTTTTACCGCAGATAAAAAAAAATACGTGTCCCCTAATTTTCCTTGTACTATAACATATCCAAATTTCATGAAAATCGGAGAGTGACACTTGGGTAGGTTTACTTGTAAGAGTACCTAAATACGCTTTCGCAAAAATTAGACAGATTTATTCTACTATCTAACGCGGTGTAGACGACTACGGAAATTACGCTAGAGTGAGAACAGTATTCTTCTATTAATTCAAAGTACCAAAATTTATCTGAATCTAATGAATTATTTCTTCGGAACAATTACTCTTATGATTTGACTCGACAACTAATGGTTCATGACCCTTTTTGCCAAAACGAATACTGACAGCCGAAACCAGATCGCTTAATTGGGAAGCTCTGCGTTAGCCAGCTACTAAAACGACCCACGACCAAGTATCCAAACGGCGTATACCCGCTTGACCAATCAAGTCTCAAGATTCGTTGCGGCTCTTGACAGCGAAAATTGTTCCTAGTTATTCTTATCAAAGAGACTTCTATCGTGCTTGACTGCGAAAACTGTTCTGCTTGTAGACGGGTTTCGCTCGCCCTCTTATACTTGCAGGTTCGCCGAATACTTGGAATTTCTGTGACGTCAGAATATCTAAATTTTCATATAAATTCGTTATTATACATTAATTATAAAATTGAACGATTTAATTATATTTTAAATGTCGCTCTTTAATTTCTGGCTAACAATTCGGTATTAAAATAGTAGTATAAGGGTGTTTTAGTGAAAAATATATTTTCTGTCCTTTCCTAGTCAACTGCGCACGAATTCTACGAGAGCTGTTAGAAAATAGAAATTAACGAACAGTCGACATAGGCCATCCGCTCTTTGTCATTGCACTTCCCCTTCCTCAGGGAACTTCGCTGGGCCCAAGTGCCCTGTATATCTTTATAGTATATGCGAAAAAAAAAATGAAAAATAAAAAATGAAAAATTTTTTGATAATGGTACCAATGGGGAGTCA